TTAATTAGCTGAATCCCTTACATAGCTCAGCAGTTCCCCACTGAATAGGTCCCATTTACCTCTTCTTCTGGGCCTTAGGGGGTCTGTGCTTGAGGGCATTTAAAACGTAGTATTTCAGCAGCTTCTGATAGGAGACTCGTACTTTCACTGGCTGGCCAGCTGGGCAGTGCTCACGATACCTAGGGGTGAAACAGACTTTAAATTTTCAGATAACTTACATTCCTTCAAAAACGAGTCTACAGACTCTACTAACAACTCTAGAAACCAGGCAAACTTCACAAGATCACTTTTTTCCCCCCACTGTAGCATAGCACTAATACTAAGGTCACAATCACTAAATACACTGTCCCCACAGGCAGAACTCACCAGTTCTTGACCAGCGGGATGTCAAGAGCTCTCCGAGTCCTCCCAGACCTCAGATTGAATGGCCGTGGGGCCCACAGCAGGGCAATGCCATTGGCTGTGTTGTCTGTGTAGAGTGGGGTATCCTTCAAGAAAGGTTCCACAAACTCTGGTAACTCAAACTCTTCATCATCATCAGGCAGCGGCTCCTGACTCTGAAACCACAAACCACACAACGCTTGTTTCCTGGATGATTCAAAGCTTCAGCTTAATTTTCTAAGTTAACCGAGTAAAAAGCATTTCTTTCTTGTCAGGGAATAAGTGCAACAGTGCTGATTATCTGAGAAGCAAAAAACACTCTAGAAGGTGTCAACAGAATTACCTCTGGCTACCTGTCAGAAGACCATAAAACAACACCGCAGTTTAGGCACTGAACTTTATCCTAGAGACCACAGGACACAGCTTTGAGCAATTACAGAAGGCAGAAAACAGCTGATAACTGCGTGAAGTTTTTCTTTGTGAAAGCACTTGTGCTTTCTCCTAAAGAGGCATGCATCCACGCTGTTATCAGAAACGAGGCTACAGAAAGATGCCAAAGTCCCACTGTCTCCACACAGGTTTTATCGTAGGTTCTCCTGGACAGTGACTCACCTTAACAGAATGCCTGTGTGAAATGGGGTTTATCAGCGGGTCGAAGTAAAATGCTGGGAGATCAGGATCTTCTGTTTTAATGAAAACAACGTTTGGAGTATGATACCTGCAACACATAACGAGTATGAGGGCATGCTGGTGGCTTCTCCCTCCTCTGCTCACCCTTGAGACTGCTGCGCTTACCAGGTCAGGTGGACGTGGTGGGGAAGGTTATTGTACAGGTATGGGAAAGCAATTTTGTACTCTGTCCTGATTGGCTGCCTGATGATAATTTTGTTGATGTCATTAAACTCATTCCAGTCTTCATCCCTCAAATAAGGCAAAAAGAAATTGTCACACAAGCAATTGGGGGAGACAGAAAGACAAACATTCCTGACCAAAGATGCAGCATCAGTGCCTTTCCTTTCGCTTATTCTTCACAGTAAGAACCACTGTCCAAAGCAACAAGCACATCACAATGCTAAAAAGAGCAAATGCTCAGAATTAACAAACCCAACGAAAGGTACATGACCACGGATCAGTGACCCTCGTGATCTTTTCCCAGATAACTGCCTATCTTTACTCCGAGATTTAACACTCACTGCAGATTGATGTCTCTAACAAGAGGCTCAAACTTGGGACCTCCAGGAATAGCCATGTTCAGCGCCTTGGAAGTGAAAAATGCTTTCAGGTCAAACAAATAGAAATAGTTGTCATCCACAAGGTCAGTGAGCAGCTGATTGGCCAGCCGATACAGCGTGGACATCATGGGCAGAGTGAACTGCCAGCGCTGGTAGGTAGAACCATTCACATACCTGCAGAGAAACAAAGCACTCGTTAAATACAGCCAGAAGACAACTCATCCTTCACCTTTCTGCTATTTGCAGAAAATATTAAGGACAGCTAACTCTTGTCCCCCTTGAGACAGGAAAGTAAAATTTACAGGCTTGTTGAAGATTTCTATGGGCTACATCTGCCCAGCTCCCCTCCATCTCCATATCCAAACTAATGTCTGACAAGATTCAAGAGCCTCCAGTGTGCAAGCATACTCTATATTTAAAATATAAACTCAAATATAAACTAGATGATCCAGGTTTTCATCTTTATGGCATGGCAAGAAACTTTTACCTGCCTGGATAGAGGCCTTGATTGCCTTCCCTCAACACTGAAGACAGGGGGATGATTTATAGCACTCAGTTTGCCCCTCCTATCCTTGAGGGAAGGTCTTCTCATCCCATCAACACCACTCATAGACCAACATTACACAAGCAAAAGTAATGCATTTCTGCATACATGTAATTTGCATCGTGCATAAACATTTTGTTGTTTGTTTTCTTAAATCCCCACAGTGAATTGTGCTACCAGGCAGACACATACTTTCTATTGTCTTTCAGCGGCTGGTGGTCATAGAACCAGTCCAGTACTGGGGCATCTTCCTCTGGATCCAGTTCAAGCTGAATTGCTTCCAGGGGCTCCACATCTAGGATGTTATCAGCATAATCCAGTGGAGGTTCTTCATCATCAAATGGGGGAAATCTCATTCTCTTGAAGTGACGTCTGTCCCTTTTTTCTCTCCTCATCATAATCCACATGGACCTGGCAGAAACCAGAGACCATCACATGCTGCCTTTATTGTGGAAGCACAGTTATTCACTCACAGCACCCCCCCAGTTAAGGAAAAAGCACTTACCCCCACTGGGCAATGTACACTGGCTCTATAACCCACGGAATCTCATTCACAAAAGAGATGGCTCCTGTGATGTGATACAGGACTGGAACATCTCTGATTTGCTCCCAGGGCATAGGCATGTTCTCCAAGAGCTTCAGAACAGCGTGAGGCATGTACTTCAGAGCACTACAACCAGAAATCAAGGAAGATCACAGCTCGAAGGCATGTCCAGAGAGCAGTCGCCTCTCTGCAGCAAGTTCAGTTACCTGTATACCTTCCACTCCTAAAGACTGCTCAGCTAACTTGCTCATAAAGGCCTTCAGTGATGAACCCACAAATTTTCCGTACTATCCTTCTGCTTCACAGATTTCACTACCAAAAGGATTTTTCTACTGGTTGGCTTCAGAGAGACTGTTACAAATTATAAACGTTCAAGAATAATAACACTAAAAAATACTGAATGAGTTTTTATGGGTAAAAACTACACAAACGCAACAGACTGTGTTTTGCACAAGACAGTTCTCTGGGCCCAAACAACAGAGAAATGCTCACAGAACATTTTAATCACGAAATAAAAAAAAAAAAGCTGATTAGTTCATAATCTCCCCCCAAAACCTCTTTTAAGCTACATGCTATTCAGAACGATGCTTTCCCTTAAGAACTCCAAGCATCGACTTCATCAGCTCATCCTCTCCTGCACCCCGCTGACATCCTCGCGCTGCGATGCTGCTGTCTGAGCACAGCTGCCCCCGGGAGCCCTGCGCTGAAGGCGCTGCCCCTCAGGGGGAGCTCCGTACCCCAGATAGACGCGCTTGTCGTGGCGGAACTTCCTGTTGGTCATGTCGCCGTGGTCGCGGATGATTTTCCGGACGTGTTCGGGAGGCATGTCCTCCTTCTGCGCGTCCACGAAGCCGAATTTCCTCTTTTCCGCATAGCGCTTGGCCTGCAGCTGCTGCCACTTGCGGGCTGCGGGGACAGAGAAGCAACGGGATGCGGTCAGGCGCGCCCCGTTCAGCGAGGCGGGATGGGGAAAGGCCTCACGCACCTTTCTCCTGCAGCTTCTCCTCAGACATGTAGTCGGGCAGCGGTGCCATCGGGGTCGGCACCGGCGCGCAGCCGCCGCGGTACGGGAAGACGGCGGCCATGGCGACGCACCTGCGGAGAAGGGAGAACGGGATCAAAGCGGGATCGCGGCTCCCACCGGACCCTCCCACGTCCCTGAGGCCCGCCCCACCCGCACACACCGGCCGCTCCGACGTCCCGCACTCCCCAACAACAATGGCGGCGCAACCCACCGCCACCGCGCCTGCGAGACCCGGATGTGGGCGATGCGCGCAGCCAGAGGGCTCGCCCAATCAGCCTTCGGGTAGCCTGACAGATAGGGGGAACAGCCTATCAGAGTGCGGAAAGGGCAGGAGGCGGGATCAACTGTGGAAGAGGAAAGGAAGCTGTGCCTAGAGTACACTTCCGGTTGAATGCTACTTCCTTTCCAGTCCCGCCCTCTGCCTATTTTGATTGGTGGAGAGGGATAACGGTGACAGCACGACGCCGGCTCTGATTGGACAGCCGGGGGCTGCAGACCCCAGCTATTGGGCCCAACAGCCCCGAGGCCGTAAGGCCGTCTGGGGTTTTCCTCAGGCAGCCCCCTCCTCGTACCTGGGTTTCCCTTGTGAGAGAGAGGCCATCCCTTGTCCTTCTGCCTCTGTCCCCACAGGAGGGGAAGGTTCCTCTCCCAAAGCTGGCCCGTTTCCTTCAGGAGAGACACACAGGGCATTCCCACAGTGTGTTCCCATGCACTGGGCTGTGCAGAGCTGCCAGGCCACCACTGTGAGACATCCTTGCAGGCTCCCAACCAGGCCCGCAGTGTGAGGCATTGGCGTGGCAGCAGGAATGTGGTGACAATCGGGGCCTTGAGCAGCAGTCGTGGTGTGGGCAGCCAACACTGCTGACAGGGGCACTCTGAGCAGTTTCAGCCTCTTCCCACAGCTTTCCAAAGCAAATGAGTGGTTTGGGGGTAAAAAGTTGCCTGCTGTGCAGAGAGCACGACAGATCTAGTGGATTTCTCAAAGCAACTACATGCGGCCCTGTGCGAGGTGGGCTCATACATGCTGCTAGGCTGATGGGAAGGGTTCTGTGTATGGGAATCAGTGGGAAATGTAAAGGGAAACAGCATTCAAACCTTCCAATTCCTTGCACCAGGAAGCTGCCCCGCTTTACTGCACACAGCATCAGGCATGAGCCAGCACACTGTGTGTTTTTATCCCAGAGCAAGGAGATGGAGGACAGGAAGCCAGTGACACCTCTGGAGCAAGCTGAGATGCAGAGTTTTTCTTTCCCTCTAAGCCTCTTCCACTTGAGCTCTTTCATTTGCTATTTATTGAAAGCCTGTGTTAGTAAGAGCTCTTGCTGCTGCTTGAGAGCATTACACCGGGCTCTGCAGCAGGACTTCTGGTTCCTCATAGATGCCCATATCTGGCCCATCTGAAAACATCCACGGGAAACAACTATCACACACCATCCTGGTCTGCAGCTCACACATTCCCACACTCATTTATGGGGACTTAATAGATCTGGGAAGAAAACAACACTAGAAAATCTCCAGTTGTCTGAAGTTAGCAGCAGTCCCCAAGTATGGCACTATGGCTCCCACTGTCCCTAGTCCAGCGCCAGCAGCATCTGACAAGGACAAGTCCAAGCCTTCATCTCTCACCTGGCACAATCTCATCAGGGATGGGTGCAGGATTTGGCTTTTACCAGCCCTGGCCTCAAGGGCAAAGCCTTGGAGCTTCTCTTGCCTGGTGCTTTCCCATGGGAAGTGCTGGAGGTAGCACAGAGTCCCTTAGGCAATAGGACCCTGCAGGGTGCAGCACCTAAGAGGTTAGAAACTCACAGTGGTGTTTGCATATCCAGAAAAGCGATGGGGAAACAATGCTCTTCTCCCTGCTCCCTTCTCAGTGGTGTCTCAGCGCTGTTAGAGCCTTCAGAGCTTCTCTGAGCAGCTCCTGGTTGTTCGACCACATCATCCAAAGGTGCTGGAGAGCAGAGCCCCAGCGCCTGGTCCACCAGCACCTTCTCTGCCCAGGATCCACAACCTTAAGTCCAAGCAACACTGAAATAGCCATTCTTATTCCCCACCAGCTCTTTGCTGTCCTCCATGAGCTCATAGCTGCTCCATGCTATTTCTCCTTCTCCCTGCGCGTGTCCCGGCTGGACTTGAAGAAATCACTACGTAGCAGGCGATAGAAGAGGATGATGTTCATGGGGGTCATGATTGCCATGCCAACTGTGCCCACAGTGTATGTGGCCAGGGGCACGTGCTGCCGGTTGAGGAACAGCCAATGTGTCATCCAGGCCAGCGTGGCAATGCGGAACACCACGTAGGTGCCCAGGTTGATGATGCTGTTGAGGCGGTAGCAGGCGGTGTGCACCAGGTCGGCCATGAGCAGGATTTGGCGCAGGTGGAGGAAGATGGAGTTAATCTCCACCAGTAAGGCCACGAGGGCAAAACCCACGTACTGATGGAGCAGCACTGCAATGCCAAAGCAGACAATCACCTGGGAAAGAGAAAGAAGAGAGGCTGAGCACAGGCACTGCTTGCTGTGCAGCCCTTCATGCTCAGGCACAGTGGTGAAGCAGAGCTGGAAACAGTTGTCATGTTGGAGCCAAGCCACTGGTCACCACTTCACACAGCTCTGCAGCCCCATAAACAAGATAAAGTCTCCTCACCATTGCACAAAACCTTAGAATGTTGCTATTTTCCAGCAGGCCAAGTGGAAAACACTTCTATAAACTCCAGGTTGAAAGAGGAAATCCAACAGCCAGCCCTAACCCTGCCATTATGGCCTGGGGCATGCAGTGGATGGTGGCCCAGCAGGTTTTTCTGCACACTGCAGTAGGGAGGGAGACATGTAGCCCAGGGCTAGAGCTGCTGCTGGCTCAGAAATCCTCCCTGAGACAGGTACACTGCAAGGATTAAATGGCTTTGCTGCATGACAGCCCTTGTGAACTCCCATCAGGAAGCTCTGGGATGCCTCAGGATGGAGCTGTGGGGGCAGAGCGGGTACAACTCCTGCCCTGCATCCTCCCTGTGGTGACAGGGGACAGGCTCTGCCTGCCTGTGCCTTACACCACTCAGACTTTTCTTCAGTTTATACCATTAATGCTGTTCTGTGTATTGGTTCTATAATGAGATTATCTGCTTGCTAAATCACTGTCTCAGCCTGAATTAGCTCTATTGTGTGGATGACCTTTTGACTCATGAGTTGCAGAGTTGCAGGGCTGAAAATCGCCTCCCCCAGCTGCGTCCCACCACCACCTCTCCTGTTTTCCCTGCCTGGGCCCTGCAGAATCCTGTGCCCCCTGCAGCCTGCTGGAAAATTAAGGTAATGGATCTGTCTGTTCCTACTTTACCATCTCCCTGGGTGTTCCCCAGACCCACTCCCACCCAGCAGACTCACCACGGAGTGATGGAAGAGCAGCTCCCAGGACTGGTGGAGTTTCTGATTGCATAGCATGTCCACAAAGTCTTCTAGGAAATAACCTGGGAACGGAGAGGCTATAAGCAAGGAAGGGGGTGGCCAGGAAGGTCTGTAGGGCAGCACTTGTACCCTCACCCGTGTTAGTACCCTAGGGTTGGATCCCAATTCCTTGCGGCATGGAGGATTTACTGCCACCAGAACAACCCCACATCAGCATTTCATGTACTTAAACCTCCTTGCTGAGCCATAGCGGTGGTGGGGATCTTGCTAGCACTGACCACATGGCTGGTGACAGAAACACAAGGTTACAAAGAGAGGAATGGCTATGGGACTCAAAACTCCTAGCAAGTTCAGCACATGGATTTGCAGGGAAGCCACACCGATCACATATCACAGACAATTTTGGGATGCTCCAAGCCCTGGCTGCCCGATGAGGATGGTGATGGGCAGCTCAGTACCTCCCAGCTCTGGATGTGTGGGCACAAAAAGGAGCCTCTGTCCTTGCCAAGAATAAGGCAATTGTCTGTGGTGCCTGAGACGTCGCTGCCCGGGACGTGGGTGGGGGGCTGGCATTAGGCACCAACAGGGACCCCCAGAACCACGTTCCCCCATCTCACCTACAGACACGGCCACCAGGCTGTGTGCCCCAGGTGGATGTGTGCCCACCAGATCCTCGTGCAGCCCAGGGTAGAGACAGAACCTGTGGGGAGATGGGCTGTGAGTGCCAGGCAGTGCCTTTGGCTCCCTTCCCTTGAGGAAGCCCTCAAGGCTTCCTTCCACTCTGCTCAGTGGGCACTGCTGACACCCTAGAACCCTTCTTTCCCCTTTGCCTCCCCCCATAGCCATGTTATCCTCCTGTCCTCCACAAGTCTTCCTATCGCCTGCTACCCCAGTATCCCCTTGCACCCCTCATTTCCTCCTCCATCACTCTGTACCCCAGATTACTTCCCCATCTCCACATCCATCCCTTCTCCACCCTGCCCTCCTACGGTTCCATCCACCCCATCCCATTTCCCTCTAGGATCTTCTCCTCAGCACCACCCCATCCACCCCATCCCCATTACTCCCTAGGATCCCATCCATCCTTCCCCAGCACCCCCTAGGGCTCCATCCACCCCGTCCCTCCCCCTCCCCCAAAGCCCTCCCGACGCCCTTTCCCCCTCCCCATACGCACAACCTCCCTCGTTGTCCCCTCGGCCCTACGTTCCCATCGCGGTCCCTCGCTGTCAGATCCCGGCTGCTCACCCCACCAGCGCCCCGCCGCCGCTCAGCACGCTGTGTGCCAGCGACGTCCAGATGTTCCGCCACTTCCAGCGGTTCCGCCGAGCCGAGGGCGGCGGGGGCATCAACCGCTCCACCCCGCGGTTCAACAAGCGGAAAGCGGCGAAAGAACCGGCGACCAGCAGCAAGTCCGGCCCCAGAGCCATGGGCATCCGTTGTCTCCCATGGGGGGCACCGAATGCGCTGACCGACGGCTCCGCCTCGCCCCGTAGCCTCCGCCCCGGGCACCGGCACCGCCCCAGGCATCGCATCGCCTCGCCCCGTTACCGGGTATCGCCGTGTAATCGGGTGTCGTTACCGGGTATCGCCGTGTCCCGGTCCGGAAGTGAGTAGAGGGAAATGCGAGAATGAAAGTGAAGAGAGGAGCTGGGGATCGCGGCACCAGAACTGGGGACACCGGGAGGTGGGGACATCTGGAGATGGGGACGCTGGGATGGGGACAGCGGGTGATGAGTACACCTGGAGATGGGGATATCTGGAGAGGGGGACGTCTGGAAAAGGGGAACAGCAGGAGCTGGAGACACCTGGAGACAGGGACACTGGGAGGTGGGGATGCTAGGAGCTGAAGATGCCTGGAGATGGGGATATCTGGAGACAGGAACATCTGGAGAGGGGGAGACTGGGAGATAGGGACACCTTCCTCATCCTGCCTCCACCTTCCTTCCTCCTGCACCCCAATGGCACCAGGGGACTTAACAACATCCACCCCCAATGCTTCACCCCGAAGTATTCCTGGTGCTTCCCCTCTGTACCATCCCTCACCATGGGCACAGATTCTATGCAAACACCACATCTCTCTGTGGGTTTATTGACCAAAAAGCTCCAGTCCTTCTGCCAAAAAAAGAAATATGAATGCTGCATCCACCACACTGCTGCCCTCCATCCCTTTGTCCTACATCCCATCCCACGAGCAGCTCCCTGTTCTCGAGGCAATCCAGATCTGCTCCGTGTAGAAATTCAGGGTCACATACCCACACTTTCCTCAGCTCCATCCCACCACGGCACTGCTTTTCCTGCTGCTCGTGATCTGATGATCTCTTGTTGCTTTTTGATGTCTCCGCCAGGAGCGAGGATGCCACGCAGACCTTATTCAGATGAATCACTGCATGCACACTGGGTGATGTCAGGGGCTGCCTCTCCTTTGAGGTATTAATCTGAGAGGAGATCATCTGTTCTTTTTGCTTAAGTACAAAAAGCGTGGAGTCTGAGCTCACTGTCACTGCTCTGTCTGGGGCAACAGGCACTGAAACTGCAACAAGTGACGGGCTGATGGGAGAGATGTTGCAGAGGGAATAAATCAGTGTCAAGGGAAAGGGGTGAGATAGTCCCTGCTGACAGGAGAGCATCTCGTGCTGCAGAAATTTGCTTAAAAGCCAGAAAGACAAAGGAATTTTATCACAGTTGAGTGGAGGGGGAGACACAGCTTGGAGTAATCCACAGGAGGTTATATATAACCTCATGCATTAGGACAGAGGGATCACACAGGCTAATCAGCAGTGGGAAAGCCAAGCACAGAGCTCATTCTGCTTAGCATTAAGGGATGCAGAGGGATGGGTGCATTGCCTACGCCCAGATGGAGCTGCACACCCGCTGGGCTACCAAGTAGGAAAATCATTTACTGACAGTGTTTTAGCCTCAGAAAAGCTGTCTGTTTCCAAGGGGAAACTCTGACCCTGCAGTGCCCCGGCCCCTGCAACGCTGTGGGTCTGGCACTGCCTGTCCTGGTTGTGACGCTGCCCCACGTGCTGCTTTGTTCTCTGGGTTATGAAACACTTTGGCCCCGTTCAGGAACAGTGAGCGTGTCTCCGGGCGCTGGAGGGCTCTCATGGCCACTTCCTCGTGGAAGGAATTTAAGCTCTGATAATAGCATCTCTGATTGCGGGGCTCTGATCCCACTGCAGAAGCACCACCAGCAGCCACACACATTCTATCTTCCAGCTACTTTTAGCTTTTTAGGTTTTCCTTGATTTTCCAAAGACTTGCCGTGGGATTTCCTACAAATCCCCTGTTTTCAGCCTTGATAATGCTTTTCTCCCTCTTTCTGCAGCGATGCCATTAACCAGAGATGGTTTGAGTGACAGAAGTTCCCAAGTCCGGTTGCAAACAATCCTCTGACGCCGGATCGGAGCCCAAATCGCCCTCCGTGCCCCGCACCCGCACCGGGCTCGGGCAGGGACAGGCGCTGCCGCCAGAGGTCCCCGCACACCCGCAGAACAGCCGCTCGCGGCGACGCGCTCCGAAAGCGCTCAGCATCCATCCGCACCTTATTTGGAGATATGGCCTTTTTTTCACCCAGATTTAGCGAAGTTTTCCATCAGTTCCTTCGAAAGCCTCATTCTGCGCCGGGTCAGCTCACACCGCACCGCTCCCAGCAGGGCAGGGACTCCCTAGGGGACTCGGCCATCCCATAACGCTGTGGGGACACAGCTTGTCCCACGGCAGGGACTTCACAACAGCAGCTCCTGACACCCCAAGTCCCTCTGGCCAAAGCCCTGCTCCCGTTGTTGGGAAGCTTTGCTCCCTTCATCTGCTTTTCTCCAGCCGGAAAGGTGTAAAGCCTGTCTGCTTCTCTTGGCTTGCAGATTATAATTAGTTGTCATCTTCTATCCTCTCCAAAGTGTGTCACTGCTCTGCTGGCTCATAGGAAGTCAAATGATGCAGGAAAGCTCTGCATCCACCACTCATCCCTCCCTTTCTACCTGATGGTGAGTGGTAAAGCCCAGAATTCGCCCTACCAGACCTGAATGCTCAGGAAGAATACATGAAACAGCACAGATAATGATTTTTACCCTATGAGCAAATCAATTCCTACTAAATATTTCCTTTTTCATGCTTCTCCCCCTGTAAGCTAAATATGCTTTCTGCGCCGGGTTTACAATTTTCAAGCTTAAGCCATACCTGAAGCCATATCTGACAGATATTGATGTGCTTTCTGGTGACATTGTTATGGGGTATTTATGAACCTATGTTTTTGGTGTTTTTTTTTTTAATTTTTTTTGCAGTTCACACAGGTTCAGAATGAGCCCTGCGAGGTGCAAGCACTCTCTCCTTGCACATGGCATGTTGCAGAGCCCACTCAATCACTCCTGCATTGCAAATAGAACTTCACAGCTCCTGCTGCTGCCGGCTGCACAGCTGGGCACGGGGCATGTTCCCTCCTGAATTCTCTCATTATTAATATCACAAACCAAGCTGCTCTGAGCACAGTGTCCCATTAATCATTTTAGCTCTGCTGCCTCCCCACCTCGCTTGCGCTCTGTTCTTCGGAGGTGTTCAGCCCTGTGTGCTGCAAGGAAGGGCCAATGTGAGCATGATGGGGGTGAGAACACATCTGCACAGCCACAGCTGCATTATGGCATGCTAGAGCATGCAGCAGGGGCTCAAAGGGAGGACAGGCCTAACAAAGAGCCAAAAGATGCTTACAGAGCACCTTACCAATATGGCATAACATCCTATTCCCTGAGTCCCCCAGGGATGTATTGCATGTTCCTAGGCGTGAGCTGTCAGAGCAGCATCCTACAACAACCCCAAACCTTTATGCTCAGCGCCCTTCCCAACCTTCAGAGCGGGACGAGATCCTTTCACCGCCACCTTTGCACCAGCGGAGGTGGGGATTCTGCTTTGCTTTTCGAGTCCTTTGCCAGGCTGTTGGGTTGCATCCAGCAGCCTCTCAGCCCCACTGTGTCAATGCCACCAGGCAGCACTGTGTCCCACCTGGCTCTCACCCCTGTACCTTTGCACACTGCAGCTCCCATCCCCGAGCAAACACTTCCCAGCCGTTTCTGCTGAGTCAGAGAATGCCTCTGTGAGGGCCGCTGCCGCTTCTCCACGTGGGAATGCGCTCCCGGGGAATAATTACAGGGAGTTTAAACAGGGCCGTTTGGCAGCCAAATTGCTTCACGCTCAGGCGCCTGGCCAGCAAGGCAGAGTCCAAAAGCAGCTTTTTGGCACTGCGAGAAAACACTCTGCACCTGCACTCATCGTGGGTGTGCAGCACCCATGGGCTGGGAGCGCTCCTGGCATCGCAGCACCCAGTGTCCTTATTGCTCTGTGGGCCCAACAGAGCAGAGCACTTTGCTGGGTGCAGTTGTACACTTACTGAGCATCCACGTGCACATCCTCTTCTCAGGGTTGTGCCCATCTCCAGGAGGATTTTCAGCTCCCCTGCGCTGGGTTTGGGAGCACGTTGCATGGCAGGATGCTGCTGCCTGTAATGGGGATGATGACAGAGCCGGGGATTAGTCCCCACTCTGCGTTTCGAGGCATATTTAAAGGTTTTGAAACATCTTGACTGTGAAATAGAGATAAGAACTGGAGGAGACGCAAACTGCGGAGGCGTCACTCCCATTTTTTTCACAGCTCCCACCCGGCTGCAAAAAATAGCACCATCAGCAGCACCCAACCCCGTGCAACACACACACATGGACACAGCGGTGCTGGGACGCCCAGAAACCAGCACACACTCACACAGGAGCAGAGCAAAGTGCAGCAAAACCAGCGGGCACTGAGCGACAGCTCTTCCCACTGAGAAACAGGAGGAGTTTCTCAGCATTGACTCAGTTTGTTTCCGAAGCGGCACAGCCCTCAGACCACACCTGCCCCATCAGCCCTAACTGCCCTTAATTCCTCGGCGAGCAGTTTCTAAACCTGAATTAGGAAGGAAAAAAAAAACAATAAATAAAAAGGAATGAAGTGGTGGAGTGATTGCAGTAATCAGATACACCGCGTCCCCGCTGCCGCCCATCGGCCGGGGGTGGTGGGCACGGCCACGAGAGCATCGCCCAGCGTGGGCTGGGGGAGCTGGCTTTGGGGACAGACACACGGACGGGAAAGAGCTACATGGATGGTGGCAGCTCCCGACGAGGCTGTGAGTATCTGTCAGAGCTTTTCCCTGGGATGAGGGGTGGTGATGGGGGAATTTGCTGAGGTGTTGGGGCTGGTGGTGAAGTTGCTGCTGTCTGCCATCCGCTTGCCTATGGGAACGCCACGAGCAGCCCTTCTATCTCCATTTTTTTCCTCCAAAACAGAGTGGAAAATCTCCAAACACACAGCAAACAGCCAAGGGGCCGTGCAACAGCAAGAACCAAGATTTGTTGCTCCTTCTTCATCAACTTCAGGCAGGGATTGCTGCTTTTCATTACGATTATTATCCTAATTCCTTCTTTACTTACCCCAGTACCACCTCATCACCAGCATGGGAGGGATTTTGGAGGTGCAGACCCCAAGCCTTGTTGACAGCATCATGCCCAGAGTGGCCATAAATAATTTCAAATCATTTTACTGATTTCTGGCACAACTGCTGGAAGCCTTCCTTGCTTACTCACAATACGATCTGAGTTCAATGGGTTGCCATATGCAAACAAGAGCTGGCTGAAATCAGAGAAAGAATGGCTGAATGGATGGGTTGGGAGACCAAAAAATGAAATAAAATAGGGAAAATGTGTACTTTCTG